TAACTCTACGGGCACGACACTCCGTGTGTCGTTCTACAACGGTAATGAAAGGGCGGAAAAGTAAACGGTTGCGCGAAGACATTTTGTTGACGTTGCCGCGCGAAGGAGGCAATTTCGGTGAAGGTGACACGCCGAAAATGTGAGCCGCAACTCCTGTAGATACACTTCACAGTTTGCAGACGCAACAGTTTTCCGTTGCAACATTTATTAGAAGACCTAATGTATATTTCGTGCGAATTTATCGACAACGGGGCGGCTCTATCGCTTTCGAGGATATGAGCTATTTCATGACGTTAAAACGCATTCCGTTGTAGATCGTTTCCGGCTTGCGGAAATTTCGCAAAATGCAACGTTAGCGTCAACTATCGGCGGCGATGCGCAGTCATAATAATGACCACCAATAAAATTCATATATAATGCCGCTATGAAAATTTTATAACGCTGGAAACCCATTCCATCCTCACGCCCGACAGTTGGAGGAACGAAATAACGGACATTGCGATATTTATGAAGTGTAATCGTACGGACGACGCGTATCGCCGGCGGTAAAGTCCGGAAATTTGAATCAAAAAGTTTACTCTCGCGATGCGCCTGTCGATATTCGAATCGCGGTTTCGCGAGATCGTCGAACAATCACGCGTGTTTACCCATCACGCATGTTTACCCTTAAATAATGCACGGCGCATCTGCGAACGCTCAATGTAGTTCAACGATAACACGGGATGCATCACGTCCGTCGGCCCGCGGATTAAATAGCCGGCTGGATTAATGCCAAGTAATACGGAAAGCGGCCGTCCTTGTATCCCCCGGTTTCGCACTTATGTACACCGGATTTGCGGATGCCAGACGTGAACTTACATTATCATTAACCTCGCGCCGTGCCGTGCCCTGCCCCGCGTAAATATGTTTACTCACGTCTGATGTCTAGAGAGGCGAGAGGGGACGCAGTCTGAATGGATCAAACGTACACGCGTGATAATGACAATTCTACGCTGTTTACCGCTGTACCGATTAATCGTGTTTGTTGATAAATACAGACAAGATAATTAGCCATTGTCGCCTAGTCCTAGTGGTGGATGTAAGACGGAATTTGGATGCAACTGTCAAGTACGGAATCGTACAAGTGTTTGAATATAGAGTGCTTTTGAAAATGCATATATATATTTAAATTTCAATAAATTTCTCGATAAAACAAATATTATTTTCATAGAAAATATTTGCCCCCAATATTGTATTTTCATTACATAATACACATAAAGCCCTACTAAATTTCTGGTATCAAAATGTTTAAATAACGAGAGAAACATATGCCTGATTCTTATTTTGCTCATTATAGTGACAACTCGTGCGGAAAAAAAATATTCTTAATGACACGGGCGACTCATCGAACAGTGAGCAAGTAGTTTACTCGCGACAAATTTACCTCATTCGCGATGTATAAAATGAAAAATTGCAAGTGCATATAAAAAAAAAAAATTTCGCAAATTGGTATCAGCGTTAAAGGTCCAACTGTATGTAAAAACGAATGACAAAATCTGCCTACAACAGACTGGTGCATACCGGCGCGATGCAGCCGTGCGTTTCGATTCTGGGCAGCCGCGATGCATTTTCGCCCTTTTACACGCGGCGGCCTACCGGGCGGCATCGATCGGCCCAATGCGATAGCGCGTGCCAGTTTTCCCCGCGCATTTTTCTCCCTCCGGTCCTTCTCCCCCATCGCCCCTACTGCCCGCCGCACCTCGAAACCCACTTTTATTCTGGACAATTTCGACGGCTGCTTTTGACGTTCCTCTCACGCGACCGACGCACGTTTTATCATGTACGCCGGTGTGCGTGCGCGAGCGCGCGCGCGTTGCTGCCGCCAGTTATGCGATACATTTTTTATTTTATATGCTTTTTTTTTCACCCTGCATGCGTACCTCATATCATGCGCCGTTAACCACTGGGATGTCAATTATTCGGAGGTTTCGCCGCAACCGCCTCCCCCCCTTGCGCACCGCCGCGTTTCGCTCTATCCTAGATTGCATCGGCGAATTGCGTTACAGTTCGCGTTGCAATTGGCGTAGTACGTAACCACTCGTTTATTGAGTTTTGCACTTAATAGATGCTTGATAATTGAGCATTGTCTAAATATTTTATTTCGCGAGTATAATATATGTTTACATGTTTCATAATTAATATTTATATTATTTAATATTTATAATATTTCTGCGCGCTTATGCAACATGCGAATATTAATTTGCAAAAATGGCATTGTTACTGTAATTAAATACTTTATACAAAACACAATGCCTCGCGCAAATAAAGAGAAAAGCTTTTTATTCTTGTGCATGCATTTGTTTGTTTTTTTTTTCATTTTATAAAAATTTAGAATTTTTAGATGCAAGGATGCAATTAATCCATAATCTTTCTGACGTATAACCGAGAGTGGGGATAACTGTGAGTGAGATATACAGAGAATTGAATAAAGCTTTAATAATCAGCGTGCCAATATTTCTATGTCTGTTACATTTTATGCTACTCATTTGAATGGAATGCGCTGCTTTTGTTACGGAGCATTCTCCATTTAGATATACGAAACGCTGACGCAGATATTTAATATAGGGTGCTCGAGATTCGGAACACGGTACAGCACTTGAGAAGCTTACGGGTTAAGGCGCCCCACGCGTTTCGGTGCTGTAATCTTGTATAACGACGGTTTGGCATATGCGAAACAGGTTCATTACGCCACGAGGATTTGTCGCATAATTTCAAACTCGGCAGTGCGCCGCGCACCAGTGAGAATTACGCGAGCGACCGTAACTATTTATCGAAAACAAGAACGACCTCGAACAAGAGAAATTATTCTCTTTAGCGGTGAATCCGATTACTCGCCGTTATCCAGAAAGCGATTTCGCAATCATGTAAATCTAAGTGTGTTGCAAATGCGATAATAGGTTTTCTTGAATTGTTACACTGCTATACGGCGTAATTATTTAGACATTAATTGAATTAGCCCCAATCTGTGTTGCGAACACATTGGTAATAAATTATAAGATAGATTTAGCGCTACATATTTAATGCTAAATGAGCGATGAGGATATAGATTATTTTCTTCTAAATGCGCGATCATTGACGTGACACCTGTCAATTTGTAAATGCGAGATTAATGATTATTATGCGCATGAAGGGACTGAAAGGTTCAAAGCGCGATGGTTCCTGTTGACGGAAAGAGATCGATATTTATTTATAATTATCGCTATGGCAGGATACGCGAAATAGAACAGCCGATTGACAGCCGCAAACATGCGAGGTGAATAGATAATTAGCGGTAAAGGTGGATAAATAGCTGTCCTCCGGTCAATTTAAATTAGGCAACAAAATTACATTGCTCGAAGATCCTCTATTACCCTACTGATTAATCGTCACTAATATCACAGCTGGGCTTCATGCTAATTAAGGCTTAGGATAGATCACGACCTTTGCGCACGCTCAGATATCAAATGTATTTCATTATAGATATATATATATATATTAATCAATAAGTAAGTAAATGAACAATTCCTGTATGTATTGTATTGCGATGTATTGTAATTAAATAACAATTAAGCTGACGCAATAAATATGAATAAAATTATATGAAATATCCAGTATCGATTTTTCTTACATCATCGCGTTACGCAACTCGCTGAATAAAATATCTTTATTCTAATTATAAAATCGGATTAACTCACGGCTGTAGATCGAAGTCAGATAAGATGATTCCATTATGTGATATCCCATTTAAATATACCGTATGACTAATGTACCAATGTTCGATGCGTAATCGAATCGAACGGCACCAATTTAATTTGCTTCTTTCAAAGGTACGTTAATATTCCCGGAGATTACTCTCGATTAAATCGGCAGCAACGTTTCCCACTCATTATGTCCGACCGTATATTATTAATGTCGCGTTAATGGAAGTATTACATCGACCAGCGCACCGAAGTGATTTCCACCGATTTTCTGAACATGAAAGCTCAACACGTTGATCCGCGGTCATCGCTAACTCGACACGTACTCGAATCTCATCTTGATATCAGCGGTTAGCTACATCGAAATATTCGGCTATAGCCTCCCGTAATAGACGTCTCGTAAATTGTCGGACACGCGCCGGGCGGAGACGCCGAGCGAGGCGGGCATCGGGCGGGTGACCTCATCGTCGTCGGCGAGTCGTGTCGCTTAAGCAGGAGTTGGGCGCTACACGTCGACGATGCCGATAGCGGATTTCTCAGAGGCGGAAGACGCGGGCGTCGACTTAGACGAGAGATATAGCGGGACCGGGAAGGAAAGAGCCTGTGGGCTAAAAGGAACACACCCACTGCCCGGACCGGGCTAGGTGGGGATAAAGTTGGTTTATGCGGGAGGAAACGACACGCTATCAAGCGAGAACACTCCGCCGTGTTAGGCGGACGGCTGCGGGGGTGGAGTATCAGTGGAAGATACAGTGCATCATCAACAGATAAGCTGCTTAGGTCGGGTCTTACGCGAGCGTCAACGCGATCTTCCCGCCGAGTTTCCCGTCTCTTCGCGCTTCGTTCTCCTTTTCTCGCTCTCTTTTTCCCTTTATCCCTCTCTCGGTTTACTATCTGCCTACCGTGTCTGTCTCCCGCCTCGACATCGTTATCCGCCGTCACGGTTCATCGACGCGAGTCGGCGGCGTGCTCAACGAAATATTGCGTTAAATAAACGGACGCCGGCGCGCTTGGGGCTGGGTACGCTCTGTATGTGCTCGATAACTGCGGCGTAAAAGCGCGCCCGTGTAGTTTTAATGCGACCGTCGGAAGCATTGTTGTCTCGCGCTGTGGAATTTCGGCGGCAGCGGCAACGAGTTAATTAAATCGCCGCGCGGGTTTTGCTCCCGCGCCCTCATTGGCCCCGTCGATCTTTATGATGCTCCCCGTATTATAATGGATAAATTATTCAACGCAAAATGATGTTTTACCGTCACTCGGCGTAGAGTGACTGAATGTACTTACCTGATATTGACTGACGCATCTCGCAATCCCGTGATACGAAGGTACACACTTTGATTCGTACGATAAAACCCGCTTCGGTATTCTCAGGACTTACGGGAGACGTAGAAAAGTTCCGGGAGTTGTCTGCCACGTCTCTCCCGCGGCGTAGCCAAAGTTTGTCGGGAAGCAGCTGAAACGAAAGCGAGGAGAAGGATTTATCGTTTGCGAATACTTATTGGCCGTAGCGCTGTGAGACGATACAAGCTATATCGAGTTTGCAGGGCAAACAGTGAAGATTCGCGGAGTTTCACGAGAGTTATACGCTGACGCGACGCGCCGATAGCGACGACGAATAGCATCCGCGTCATATAGCGATTCCACCGCTCCGCTCTGTAGTTTTTTTTTTATATAATACTTTGTAAGATTCAGCGTGTAATATCAGTAAGACCAGTTTGAAAATGAAATGGCAAACATATAGTGACATTCGGACGCATTATCGTTGAATCGAAGAATTCTTTGATCATAGAGTTAATATTTTGTAATGAAATTTTATTAAACTTAAAAATTTTTCCGATAATTTAATTATATTCCGTTAGTGGAGATGCTATTAATAAAATTAAAATGGCAATCCCGATTAAATTAAGATGCAAAAGTATTTAGAGTAAGTCAATTTCGGAAAATCTTTATTAAGCAGCCACCGAATTTTAATGGTACAACTCCATCGGACGGCTTATGCAAATTTTGTTCTCGAATTATACGTCTCGACTTTGCCGGGAGATGCAATATATAGGGCACAACATCTGGATGCGAAATGTCATGGCGGACACATAAGATTTCCGCGCGACACCGCGGCAACGTCTTCGTGGAGGCAGTCTGCAATCAGAATCTCTCTCGCGCGTACATTCGCGCCTCGGGAGAATACACGGTGGGCGTTCCACCACGACTATCGGGCGCGGGCACACATACACGGCGACGATGGAGCACGAGAAGACAGTCGCGGCGGCGGCAATGCAACAGTCAGGAAGGTAGCGGAGCGAAGAGACTTAGTGGCGAACTTGCCTGCTGTAGTAACGGTCGGAGGGAGACAGGTGGCATCAAATTATTGCAAACAATTACGTTTAATGAGAAGGTTAACGCCACCAGCCGAGGGCTGGCGCGAACGTGGATGCAAATGTGCCGACGCCGAGTAATTAGCAAACAGAGTAGTCCTTCGACCCACCGCCCTCTTCTCTTTCACGTCTCCCGCTGCCTCCCATCCCTCCTCCGTCGCATTGCCGCCACCTTCCTTCCGCGATAGCAAAGGGGGATCGAGAGGCGAAGCGACCTATACCACCCTTTTGTTAGACACATCGCTGTTTATGTGCGCGTAAATGTGGAATATATGGAGCGCACCGCCGCAACCGGATATTCGGTCGGCGCAATAGATAGATAGATTCCTCGGCACAATTGAAAACGAACGACTACCACCGGCAGCATCGCAATCGTAACTTTGAAAATTATTAATAGAATGTGCGCGGCTCTGTACAGCTTTAATTTGTAGAATACTTTCTTTGCGTCTGAAGGATTCTTCACGAGAGAGCTCGACGAAAGTTAAAGAAACGCTTCTGAGTTCGAGATTGAAAATAACGTAACGCTGCGTACCGACAAAGAAATTTTGAAAACTTTTCGAGCGGAGGAGAGTAAACTTCATGTCGTAAGAAAGATTATCTAGGGAGTATCCTCGCTGACTTTATCTTACAAGGACTGCCGGACGCGACCGTGGAAATCGGGATCTGCATTGAATGGCGCTTTTAAGTTTCGACCAAACAGTGAGCACAAATTCTCGGCGAGTCCAGAAGTGACTTGGATGAAAGTGTTCTCTGAATGTTCGCGAAAAGCAGTAATCATGTCGCGACGGTAAACGATGAACAGGCTACTACGAGCGGTGATCAAACGCAGCATTGTATGTAATTTTACTCTCGGAAAATACGCTGCTATGTATATTTGCACTCGTGCTGTGAACGCTAAGCAGCAAAATAAGCAAAAACGGTGTTTAGAAATTTCAATTATCAACTTGAATTAGTCGTTAAAACAAGTAATCTCGCGACTTTTTAAATAACTTGTGTTTTTCATCTATTGCTGTTTTGCTCCCAAATGTAAAAAAAAAAAGATAAGGACGTGCAAAAACAAACAAACGAGTAAAAAAAAAACAGTAAACACAATATTTGTTTTGTTATATTTGTTTTTTTCGTGATCTCTCAAGTACCTTGTGTGTATGATCAGTGCGAGTAAAGCCACTCCCGGGCGAAATGGTCGAATAACCGGCGCGATGGAAAATATGTAAATATATTTGGACCCTGTTCGCGCTCCCGATCGTTGTTCGTCAGCTTACTGAGCGTTCATGATTATTCATGCGCGACTTCAGTTTCTTCGCGGAAAATCCAAATTCCCTCATCTGTCGTCTCATTCTTGCCGACACGGCGGCGGCGTCATTAGCGAAAGCGATATTAATTGAATCACGGGCGTGCGTCTGTGTCTCGCGAAACAGCAGCGGACTGCAGTGATTCTGAATCGATGGCAACTCGATCGGATAAGACACGCGACGGCATTCGCAATAAAGACTCGCTGCGACCGCAGTTATCGAGATTGACACACGTTGATAATTATGCAACACACGCAACTACCTTGAAGCACACCGAATTTGCGATTCGCGTGTGTCGTTGTCGCTGTCGCTTTGCCGCGAAATGATGATATCAAGATCACCGGAACGGTGAACGAGCGCGATTGCCGTGTGCGCAACCAACATCTGCACGATTTCACATTACGCTTAATAGCCGCGGCATTTAGATCGCGATGCGATTAAAAAGCGCACTTACGAATGCACTTTTTCTTGATTTAGAGATTTATGCGTTACGTTTGCGCTCAAAGACCCGAGCAGAGTTTTCGTATTCCACGTAATCTGTTTGCAAATAGTTGTACGTTCCACGGTTAACAATGTTAATTGCGCGTATAAAGTTTCCTTTATCCGTTTCGCTTATTCCCGTTAAACGGCCGCGATTATAATAAAGAATTATTCCGTTTCGTCAAGAGTTTCTTCGCGGCATCGGCCGCGACTCGGTTCTTCCGTATCTTTTCAGACGTTAAAACATCGGACATTTCGTGCGAGGAATTACGTCTGATATAACTGCTGGAAGGTTCTATTATCTCCCGTCGCTTGTGCCTTCGCTAACATTTGCCTCGAGCGCGCGATTGTTCTGTCTACGCCTTTTGTAGAGAGGGCCACCGGAATTCGAAATGGATTAAACGTCGTCGCCAGTGTCCCCGGCGCTTCCGTGACGGCGTCGCCGGGATACACGCGTCGTAATAAAAGCTGAAAATTCATAATACGCCAGTAGCAGCCGCGTAATGCATCACTTCGTACATATTCGGGTCACTCTGCCGGCAGCCTCTCCGTAAATCTGCGCGCCCGCGTCCCGGATGCGAGCAGATGCAGTAGTTCCTTGCACGTGCGCATACTTTCCGTGCCTTTTAGTCTGCCTGACGTACCACTACGTGCTCGCGTACTCATGTCTGTGCCCGGCTCACCGCGCGGGCAACACGCGAATCGCACGTACACCTTCACGACGAATTTAATGGAAAATTTTCTTTATGACGATGAATTAAGAAAACGCGACTTTGTTGCTCGAGATGTTGTGCGAACAACGGAAACTCGTTGCGCGCTGTTAATATCCATTTCCGCACTTTCTAAATGTGCGTTTGCTCGGTGTACGCGTCGCGATGCCGGTCGGAACAAAAGAGGGAATTTCTTTCGCCAGATTGCCAATTTATTTCTATCCCAGCAAGACACGAATTGTTTACATTTCTCGGGAAGCATCGTGAATTTTTTTCGAGATGCTCGTCAGAAAGAAATTTTCGCGAAGGTACGAGATGACTGCAACGATAACAAAACGAGGCGAAATAGTCCTGTAAAATTTTTTTTTTTTTTTTTTTGGAATAATGTAGATAGGACCAATTCACCCATTGACAAAAGAAAAAAAGGAGCTGAAAAAAACCGCACAAACGACACGAAGTTATTATCAAAACTGGTGGAAGCGCGAGCACGTAATGCGCGTACTACAGACGACGGCGGAACAGGCATGGCCGCTCCTGTGCATTGCAAATTGGATGGAGTTCTCTCTCTCTCTCTCCCCCTCCATCGTATCCTTTCGTCGGACTATCCAATTTGTCCTTCGGGATAAAAGATACGGTGCAGACGAGCGGGATAAGTGAAAATTTCACGGAGACTAACCGCGCCGGACATAAATTTCGTACCGCTTCCGGAATAGTAATAAGTCTCGCTAACGATCTCGCGCGGAATCGTTTCTCAATAGGAAAAATCACGTCAACCGATAAAAGCCGTGTTCGCCTGCTAATACCGTAAATAATTGCGACTCTACACGCGCTGCTCGAAGTAAATCGATCGGAACAATTATTCGCACTCTACCGGAAGGTTAGAGACAAACGTTCTTTAATTAGACTTATCGCTAATTGATAAGATTTAACAGGATCGTTTTATCTCCGATACTAGTTGCAATATTTGCTTCATTTTATTCAAGACATGTCTGAGATATCGTATTTTTTATTAAAAGAACTTTAAAGTTGAAATAATAGGTATCAATCATTGAAAAATAAATGATACAAGATTAACTTAAAATGTGCTTATAATACAACTTGCCATCAGCTTAATCTTGTCACTACTTTCTTATTTACTTTATTCTTCGTATTTACTCACTTCATTTTCCTTTAAAGCAAATTGCGCAAGTCTCGGAATGTAATAATTCAAAGAGAACTGCATGTCGGACTATTTTGGAGTGAAAGGACGTTAATCGGACGCGAACGATATCGAGAAACTAGAGACACATGTACAACACGGGCGTGCAGAGCAAACGCAAGAACTGGGGCATGTATTTTCATCACTGCGTATTTCCATTTCTGCCGCCGCGAGTGGCGCAGCTCGACGCTGTGTCCGTCTTATAGCCGGCGAGCCGGATTTTTCAGCGGAACGACACGCCACAGGCCACGCCACGGTCCGGGCAATAAAGAAAATTGTGACGTTAATCTGGTTTATGAAACGATAAAAGTGAACGCCTTGTTCGTGTATGTTCCGGACATAATCGTCGCCGGTCGGTTCCTCGTTTGTTACCCCTTGCCTCCCCACTCATCACCCGCTCT